AACTACAGTAGCACTTATTACCCCTCAAAATCTTAGAAGATAAATTACAAGAAATCAAGCCCCTAGCAAGCCCAAAACCCCAGAGCACATATGTTTCTCTAATGATTACAAATTTTCAACAAAATGGCCGAATCAGAGGTAGATTAATAGATCCCTTTTATCAAATTTAAGGAAGATCGGAAATATAATACCTAACAATTACATGAAAAACTAAAAAAAGAAGAGAAATATTCAGAAAATGACGAATTTGAAGGAAAATTTTGGGAAGAGATTAGTACTTACCTGAACGAGGAAGAAGGGAGCGATTTCGAAGTATGATCGCCTTGGGGCCGAAGTCTTGTGAGTCTATAAACCACAGAGCATTCGGGTCGCTGCGGGTATTATTAACAGTTCTGTACCCGAACCCAAATTTGGGTGTGCTTTTGTGACAGAACTGAAAGAAGGCTTATATTTCAGTTTGATACCCAAAGTCTGCACATTTTCTGGCTTTGATACACAAATGTATTTTTTAATATTTTAATATGTCAAAGTTTCAATCTTATTTAACTTTGATACCCTCGACGAGCTCGCCCGTTAGATTTTTTTCTGTCAAATTTGTATTGATGCTTAGCAACTGGGTAAAACGGATTATAATGTATCATATGCTAAGGAAGCCATACAAATTTAACAAAAAAAAAATCTAATTTAATCCGGACAGTAGAATCAAAGTGCAATAGGATTGAAACTTTGGGTATTTAACTGTTAAAGAATACTTTTGGAGCATCAAAGTGAAATTGAATTCAAAGTTTGGGACATCAAAGTGTTCATAAACACTTGTGAGGATTAAGGAGGTAAAGTCTGAGGTTTCAAAGTGAAAATACAAGCCAACTGAAAAACTAGGGAGCAATAGAAGTGAAATACAAACACATTGTTTCAACACATTTTAGTTGACGAACACGAAATGAATGTGCGTCATCTTCAGAAGTCGGGCTTCACAGTCTTCAATGGGTCCATGACTTATACTGGGCCTGACTCTTAGCACAATAGGGCTAATATCAATATATCGGGCCTGATGCAGCCCACTTTGTAGTCAATGTAATGTAAGAAGGGAACTTGACAATAAAAAACCATTGGCGTTTCATACCATGATGTGGGCGAGTAGTCTGCTTTTTGTTTCATCCGACGGCTACTCTTTTCTATCATTTTCTTGAACCTTGCCGTGGCATGCTTTGCTATACTAATAAAATAATAACCTCTCTTATTGTATTTTTATCGCTTGTCAAGTTCTAAGTGTTGGGCGTGTAGTCACGCCCACCGCGACGGAAGCGATATCACAAGAGAGATAATCCTGACTTTCGTTTTCACAAAAGCATAAGTCAACCTCTATATTCTTGTTTTTCAAAAAAAAACTAGAATAAAAAGTGAAATATTTTAACAAAGTGAAATATACACTCTTCCTCTCATCAGTTCTAGGACTGAAATGTCGAGGGAACCTACAAGCAATGGCAAACTCACAGTTAAGACAATACAGACACGAGATTTATGTGGTTCGGTAAACTTGCCTACGTCCACGGGAGGGGTGTTTCACTATGAAGAAAAATACCAAACTTATACAAGCTCTCTCTTCTCTTTTCCTCCACTCGAGATTTTTTCCCCACACATCTCCTCTCTGCCTCCCTTCTCTATTTATAGGAGAGGAGAAAATCCGGAGCCAAGAGCAAATCACGGAAATTCGTTATTTGAGGACAGGCGCCCACGAACTCGTTTTTGTGGGCGTGACCGCTCAAGAGAGCGTGGGGCGTGGGTTGGATGGGATGGGACACCCATCACATGGGTGTGTCACCCCTCCCTACGTTCACAATTCTTCACTTCGTACATCATTTGATAAACCTTAAATTTTGGACGAACACCAGAAGAACACCACGAACTCCAAACCAGGTCAAAACCAACAGCTGCGCCACTATACCGCGGCTGCCTACGTACCCTCCACCGGGATCAAGCTAATCGTAGTTCCGCTATTATTCTCCAACATAGTCTTCACCACACCCCCATCACCGCCCCGCAGGGCCATGCCCTCACGGGTAAATCAGCACGAGCTGATATGAAGCAAGTTCAAGCAATGCTGAAACTTACTGTATGTCACCACCTTAGTTAACATGTCTACGGGATTCTCATTCGTGTACACCTTCATGAGAGAAATATCACCTTCCTCTATGACATTCCGTACAAAATAATACCTGACATCGATATGCTTGGTACGAGCATAATAAACTTGATTCTTCACCAAGTGAATCGCACTCTGATTGTCACACCACAAGTTCATGTTCTCCCGCTCAATCCCCAAATCATCTAGAAGACCCCACAACCACAATGCTTTCTTCACTCCCTCTGCCATAGCCATGTACTCGGCTTCTGTAGTAGAAAGTACTACTGTAACCTGTAACATCGATCGCCAACTAACTGGAGCCCCATGTATCTTTAATACATAACTAGTAGTAGATTATCGTCTATCTAGATCGCTCGTATGATCAGAGTCAACAAATCCGTCGATCTGACATGTATCTCCACCAAAACATAGACCTGTATGAGCGTTACCCTTCAAGTACATCAGAACCCATTTCACCGCTTCCCAATGTGCCTTTTCCGGATTCACCATGAACCTACTGACGACACTGACCGCCTGTGAAATATCTGGGCGTGTACACACCATTGTGTACATTAAGCTACCAACTGCAATAGTATAGGGAATGCACTCCATGTGTGCCTTCTCTTCCGCTATAGTGGGAGATTGTTTTCCTAAAAGCCTGAAATATGGAGCCAATAGAGTCGCCACCGACTTTGCACTTTGCATCCCGAATCTTACGATCACCCGCTCTATGTAACCCTTCTGACTCAAGAACAATCGTCGATTCATCCGCTCTCTTCTAATCTCCATACCCAGTTTTTTCCTTGCAGCGCCCATATCCTTCATCTCGAACTCTTTACCAAGTTGAGATTTTAGCCTATCTATCTCCACTCTGCTCTTAAAAGCTATAAGCATGTCATCCACATACAAAAGAAGATAGATATAATTACCTCCACGAAGCTTCCGAATATAAACACAACAATCATAATCGCTTTGGAAAAACCCATGCTTCAGCATGAAAGAGTCAAATCACTTGTACCACTACCGAGGAGATTGCTTCAATCCATAGAGTGACTTCCTCAAGCGACATATATGATGCTCCTTATCCTCAACCTTGTAGCCCTCAAGTTGATGCATATAGATCTCTTCATCCAAGTCTCTGTGCAAGAAGGATGTCTTTACATCGAGTTGTTCCAGCTCAAGATCACCATGAGCAACAATACTCAATAGCATCCGAATAGAAGTGTGTTTCACCATCGGAGAAAAGATCTCATTATAATCCACACCCTCTCTTTATGCAAACCCTTTAGCCACTAACCTCGTCTTGTACCTTGTACCACCGAGCTCTGAAAGATCTTTCTTTCTTTTATACAGACACTTATAACCTATAGCTTTCTTTCTTACGGGCAATGGGACCACCTCTCATGTTTGGTTTTTTCGAAGAGATTCCATCTCCTCCTCCATCGCAACCAACCAACTCTCGCTATTTCTATCCCGAACAGCTTCCTTGAAGGAGACCGGCTCATCTTCCTCCACCGAGAGTACGTATCAACTAAATTAACCTGCCCATAATGCTTCAGGGGTTGATCAGCCCTCAGCTTTTGTACCTGCTTGTATGCTCGCCTTGGCCTAGTAAAAGCCAAGTTATCCTCGAGCTGTTGTTGTTGTAGTGCCTGTGTATTCTCCTGCTGAACCTCCTCCTACTCAAGCTCATCATCTACCTGATTTCCCACTTGAACACGACTAGAACCTGGTTGGTCTCTAGGTTTTATCTCAATAACCTGGGACTTAGAATTCCCAACAGTCTCAACACCATCATCCTTGGTTACCCTAGTAATCATAGACTTCTTATCAAAGGTAACGTCCTGCTGATCACGAACTTTGAATCTTCTGTACACCAAAGGCGATAGCCTTTTACACTCTTTGCATACCCTAAGAAAATTACCTTCTTGGCCCTAGCGTCAAACTTTCCCTTATTGACGTGATAGTAGGCGGTACACCCAAAAATTATGAGCCTCTCATAATCTGCATGCTCTCCTGACCATACCCGATAGGGTGTATCACCATCCAATGTAGAATGTGGGGATCGATTCACAATATAGCAAGTTGTAGCAATTGATTCTGCCTACCATTCTTTACCCAAACCAGCATATGATCACATACTCACTGCTTTCTCCCGCAGTGTTCGGTTTAGTCTCTCCCCGACCCCATTTTACTATGGTGTAGATCTAACTGTTCAGTGTCTGGCAATCCTCTCCTGATCACAAAACTCCTTGAAGGAACCATCTGTATACTCTGTATCGTTATCAGATCTTAATGTCTTTAATTTCTTTCCTATCCTGTTCTCAACCATAGCCTTCCACTTCTTGAATGTCTCAAATACCTCATTCTTATGCTTCAGAAAATAAATCCAAGCATACATCGAATGATCATCTATGAATGAGACAAAATATCTGGAACCATCCTTGGAGGTTGTCGAAAGTCGGACCCTAAATATCCATGTGCACATAATCTAGTATCTCTCTGCTCTTATGATTACTTGTCAGAAATCGGACCCTGTGTGCCTTTCCATACACGCAATCCTCGCAAAAATCCATACAAGGCTTCTTCAAATTCTTCAACAAACCATCCTTACCGGGCAGAGCTAAACCCTTCTCTGACATGTGCCCAAGCCGCCTATGTCATAACCGTGTGTGCTCACATGGGTCTCCACCACTTCCATCAGTTCCAACAGCTGCATCTCCCGTCACCGTAGTACCCAAGAGAGTATATAGGTTGTCGTGACGAATGCCCTTCATCGCTACTAAGGAACCCTAAACAATCTTCTTCACTCCGTTCTCTGTTATAATCTTGTAACCCCCGGAGTCCAAAGCACCAACTGAGATAAGATTCTTCCGCAAGTCAGGAACGTGCCTTACATCCGTCAAGGTTCGAACCACTCCATCATGCATCTTGATCTTGATATCACCTAGTCCAATCGTTTTACAAGCATGGTTATTCCTCATCAATACGGTTCCACCATCAATGCTCCTGTAGATAGTAAACCACTTCATATTTGGATACATGTGGTAAGAGCAACCAAAATCAAGTATCCACTTCCCAGAGGTATCCTCGCCACCTGTGACGACATAGCATTCCTTATCGCTCCCTTCCCCTGAAGGGTAGCTTGCCTCTTCCTTACCTTCTCGTCTTTCAGTCTTGTTGTTGTTCTTCTTCCCATCTACTCTCTTGTTAGGACAATTGACTTTGAAATGCCCTAGCTCACCGCATTTGAAACACGGTCTTTCTGTAAGAGGTCTTGATTT